GCTGGGCCTGACACTGAGCCTGACGCTGGGCCTGACGCTGGGCCCCACAGCCCCCCGGGCTCACCTCCATGCGGTCCAGCGTGGTGCGGGAGCTGCGCACGCTGCTGGCGCGGAAGCTGCTCTGCTCAGACAGGGGCCCGTACCGCAGGCCAAGCAGCTGGCTGCGCAGCTTCAGGTACTGTCTGCGCAGCCCGGGCTCGAAGCCGCACTTGGCATTCTCCCGGAGCAGCTGGCTGCGCCGGCGGATGTACTGCGTGCGGAACTGCGGGAAGGTAGGCGTGCGGTAGGCGTTGTACCTGCAGAGAGAGAACGAGCACGGCTCAGGGACCACTGGGGGAAATGAGGCGAGAAGACACGCAGGGAGGACAGAGCAGGCGGTATTTACAGCACGAGTCGCCCCAGAAAGAGGCGCTTCAACACTTCCTCTGCTCCAGACTCAAGCGGTCTCCCGGTTTTTAATTCAGCTGCAAAAGCTTCAAAGTCCAAGACAAGGAAGACAAGGCAGGGGTATGGAAAATGAAATCCTTCTGAACTTGAAGGCAGTTCCAAGAATTCCCCTGGAGTTCCTCTGCAGTTCGAGCAGCAGACGGCCGGGGAGAGATCCGGGGGGGACTCTCTCTGGAACAGTCAAAGGTTAGTGCGGACGCCGGAGGGAAGGGCTGTACCTCGCGTCCACTGCCAGGACCTGCTGCCACACAGCTGCCATCCCCCGCGGCCGGGGTACGAGGCACCGCGGCTCGGTCCTCACGGGGCGTCCCGCTCGGGGTCCGCGGCTCCAGGGGCTCGACTCCGGGCTGGGCGCAGGCGCGACAGTGCGAGCACAGGCAGAACACGCCGCCGGCGCAGGGACGCTGGAAAGTGACAGCGCCTGTTAGGACTCTCGCTCTCGCCTGGACGTCCCGGAGCTGCGCCGCTCTGCTCTCAGGGCCCAGATTTTGTTACTTCTGGTTTGTTTATTGTATGATTCACCATTATTGCATTACTGCCTCTCTCATTTATCTCACGCCACAGTATATTTTTCACTGCTAATATTTTCCACCAGCTACGCTGTCGTCCTCCAACACCCCCGCGCGGCGCTCGTCCTGCTCAGGCCTGGGGAGAGAGACAGGGCTGCGCACAGTTACGCCGCCTCCAAGCACAGCCATGGAAACCACAAACGCAGCAATTTGTAAAGATTTAATCGGCAGCTTCTGAGGAAGAGTGAGAGGAAACCGATTCCCCTGTTGAAAGACGAGCGAATTCCGAATGGAAACATGTTTTCGCATTTCACTTAACCTGACTCAGGACAGTTTCATCTCCTGGGAGTTAGTCCGTATTGCATTACCGGGCCAGCCAGGCCGGGCCTGGTCAGTACTGGGACAGGAGGCCTCTCAGGCAGCGGGTCTCGGTCTGGGTCCTTGAGGAACTCCACCCCTGCAGGACCTGATACCACAGGTTCTGGGGTGCCTGGACGTCACCTGCTAGCTGGTTTAGACTCTTCTCTCCTCCTCCTCAGTTTCAAGAATATCCTGAATCTTCTTATTTCCTGCAACTTCAGAATACAAACGTTTCTGCATCATCTCTTCAACCTTCTAATGAAGAACTTGCTCCCTTGTCTCTAACTAAGAAGCCCTTACTAAGCAGTCAGCGTACAGGACCAGCCGCCATGGGTGAGGCGGATATTGTATCAAGCGTCTTCTTGAGCCCAACTGGTTACACGTCAGCTGAGCCGAATGAAGGAGATCTCAGAGAACGCCACAGGTAGATACTGATTACAACCCCCCGAGATGATTTCAAACATTTGCCTGCGATTATGAAACAGAATCTCGCCGTCCCTCAGGACGGTACTGTGGAGTGCCCCTGAGTTCTGTTTGTACCCCAGGTACCCCCCCACAGCGGCTGTGCACTGGGGCTGCCCTTTGGAGAAAGTGCTCGATAAACGAAAGCAGTTTGTATGACATCTCATAACTCATCATCAGCTCTGCAGCTCTAAAAATGGGAAAACTGCAAACTATTCCGCACACTCATGGTTTCACACCAGTAAACGAACATGTAACTCAATTCACCAAATGTATGTTACATCCATAAAGAAGGAGATGCACGTCTTATTAAATTTATTTATTTTTAAATTTTAGCTACTTGAACTGCATTTGGAATTGAAGTAGAAATAAAATATGCGAACTCAGAGGTTTAGTGCTCTAGCATAATGTGGCCATACTGGGTAATCTTTAATGGTATTAAAGGTATCTTTAATGTGAGGGCCCCGCGAACTCCCCTGCCTCTATCGTGATCGCCCCGAAATGTCCGTCAGGCCGGTTATCGATTCCCGATCGGAAAGCAGATCGGCAGGAAGACCCCGCCCTCTGGACGAACACGCAGCGGCGATTGGCGGAGGCCACTGTCAGTCCCCGCGGGGACCGGCTCCTGCCGCAGAGCCCGGAAATGGACGCGATGCTTCTGACAATTAACGTCCTCGAAACGGACCCTGTGTCTTCCTACCCAGCCGTTCACACATTAAGTAACGACATGACAGAGAAGGGTGGAAAATCCCCATTGTACAATCCCCTCCTGAGAGTGCCTTCTGTTTCGAGGTCTCCCGTGTCTGTCGCTCGCTGCCGTGTGACCTGCAGCTCTGTGCAGGTGAGCGGGCACGACAGGGCGCGACAGCCCTAGAGAGAGCCCTGCAGGGCTCGTATCCCTACGCCTGAAGAAACCTAGTGTTCCTCTTCTCCTCCTTTCAGCGTGCAATAAACCATTACCTGCTCCCCTGTACGCCTACATGCCTGTCAAAATGGCTACGTTAGCTTTAAACTCGAAATGAACCGTTGGATTCTCCTCTCTGAAGCTGAT